GTTTATAAAGATGGTGAAAGCCCGTTTGAAAATAGATTTGAATTATTGTGGTGTATTATGGTATAATGTGGTGTCACAAAAAGGTTCTGTGTTGGCTTGCAAATGAAGAACTTTTTTTTGGGAGTGTGCTAGGTTAATTTGTTTTTCTATAAATCCTGTTTTACTGATTGCCGTTTATGGCAGTTTTTTTGTAACTTTTAAAATCCTGTGATAAATGTATTGTTAAAATAAAAAAATCTCTCTCTCTCTCTCTATCAACAACCGTATATTTATATGAAAGCATTGTTCTCCTCTCTATAGAATGAAACATAATCATCATAAAAAAATCTTGTGTCTCCAGTGGGCAGTTTTGAGCTGGACTTGATGAGCCAGAGGGATTGTGACACAAACAGAAGTTTGTGGTCAGTTTTTTGCCAGAAGCCAGTTTAGATGAAGCCTTGGCTTTAGACACCGGAGGCTTCCCGCCCTTTTCCCAATGTGTGGTCTCCCCAGAAAAAGCCCCCCCCCCCCAGATTATGTTGTTTCTCTGGTGTTAAACAGAAGAGTCGACCCTCTGACAGCTTCCTTCCCCATTTCCCAGCTTTCATGTCAGAAGGACGGGGTCATAAATGCTACGACTATTTTGAGCATCCTCTTTGAAAGCTTCTACAAATCAGAGGGGCTGTTTTTGCTGACGTGGAATCTCAGTCTGAGACATTTCTGCTTCACTGTCATGTATTTAAAAAAAAAAACAAATCCTTCCGATCACCCACTTCTCTTAACTTGAGTAAAAAGTCAAAACACAATGGATTGGTCACTATTTGCCTCCAAAAACTGCATCTGACTTTAATCACACGCAACAATTTAATGATCAATGACTATAAAGGATGAGAATACTGGGAATGCGTCTTCTTTTACACACTTAATCAAATTAAAAGTCCCAAATCTAAACGGCGGTTAAATTACTCCACACTTACAATAAACATGTCTTTCATTAAATAAACGAACCATAAATAATAAATATAGAAATCCATACATTCTAAATTGTATTCCCTAACCCTTTAAAGCCTGATCCAAGAAAAAAAATAGGAAGAATATTGGATTTTTTTAGTCTGAAGTCTTTCTTTGGCCCCTCAACAACATATGAAGAAAAAAAAACTGAAATGATTTTGATCAAATTAGCGTGCAATAAGTCAAAAATATATGTTGGTGTAGTCTTCTACTGGCTGTTATCAGGTATATCTGAATGTGTACAACAGGGGTCTGAGCAAAGCTTTTACCACTGAATGATGCAAAAAGTCTCAGATCCAAAAGACTTCAGAAACCGTATGAATCAAATATGACACATTTAGCATTATAGGGCTAATATTCAGAATGGTAACTTGGCTTTTAACACACAGCTTAACAGAGTAACGGCTCACTGGGTTGTCGCCCTTCCTCTGGTTCTCCACACAGAGGCAGGAAGTCGTCCACACATCCGCAGGGCCTTGAAAAAAGAAAAAAAAAAGAAAAGGCGTGAGCGGACAAAGTCCTAGCGGCAGGACTCAGTTCGGTTTAGAGGCACATCTGGATCTGCATCTGGACTCTGGCCCGGGCAGAGAGACGGGGACAGGCCCGCCCCGAGATGCTGGTCCTGGGGCTTCTGCTGCTGCTGGGACTGGGGGGCCAGAGCCAGGGTGAGTTTTAGCAGGCTGGATTCAGTTTGGGAAACTCAAACTGAACCCGAAAAAAGGCAGACAAACGTCTAATTTACTGTCTAAAATGTGGTTGATTTTGAAGTTAAAGCCTTTTTTTTTTTTTTTTTTTAATTTCTTTGGAATATCCCAAAAAATCCAGTTCTCATTCTCGTTTGTATGCTCTTTTTTTATTTGTTTGTTAAGATTTAGACAATTTTTTAAAATCTTAATTGCAATTTAAAGCAAAATCTTTACCTTTGTGTCCCTTTGGGGGTGATTCTGTCCGTCGATGGGTTAGGGTTAGGGTTAGAGTTTAAGGTTAGGGTTCAGGGTTAGGGTTAGTTCACCAGCAGATGGACCCCGTTTGGAAAACTTTATCCACTCAAACTGAACCTGAAAAAAGGCAGAAAAACCTCTAGTTTACTGTCTAAAATGTGGTTGATTTCGAAGTTGAAGCCTTTTTTTT